GAGTAACTAGGAGGTTTCATTTTACTAAATCTTGGAAACAATTTGGTTCCTGTTCGGGTATTCTATATTCCCAACGAGGCAAACTTAGCTAGCACTGCTCACGCCGAGAAATGTGTACAGCTTATTCTTGGATTTAGCCTCCATCATGGATGGGAGGCTTTCAATGTACTTTTTCTCAAAAAGTACCCGTATCCAAGGCCACAGTGCAATCTCACATAGAACTTTCTATAGTGCAGTTGATAGTTTGACATGTCCTATAGTTTTCAGAAGATTGTACAGTGAGATGAATTCATAGAGGCTCTGTAAGAAGAGATTGGGGTGTTAATGTTTTCTTTAGAAATACATGTTAAGAAGTAGATCATGAAAAAATTGCGAAATAAATATTTTAACTTGTGTGTATGAATAATAACATCTTATATTGACAATTATAAAACAAGCATTCTGAGAGTATTGCATAAGCAAAACATGTCTTCTACCGGGTTCTACCACGATTATTGCAAAGATCAAAGAAAAGCCGCGGACATTATTCTCCAATAAATCACGAACGTCATCAACAAATTATCAGATCACAAACATGTATCAAATCTGAACAACCCAATGCATGTTTGGCTGTAGAATGAAATACTTGTTTAGACCGCATCGATGTGTCGTCTTTTGCAGCATAAACATTGTAAATTGCAAGAAGGATATGGAGATAACGAACAGTATTCAATATCAAAGTCCATAAAACAATACAAAATTGGAGCAGAGCAAACATGGACCTCCGAAACATTAGAGGTGGGATCAGGTGCCATGGAGGAGTGAGCATCCCCTGGTGACCGGACACACCCGCCGTGTGCTCCTTGTCTTGATCAGGAAATAACGGAAAAATCCGTCGTCAGTACAGTGCATAAATAATGGACTAACAATAAGTATGAAAAACGTCAGTCAGCATTTGTTTCAGTGATGAATTGTATTTGCTGACAAGGTCATTGTAGCGACCATAAAATTTACAAAATGATGACTTTAAACGAGACTGTTGATTTTCTTGTTTCATCAACTTGCTTGTTAATAATTTACCTCGTTTTAGAAATTGTTCATACGTAGAGCATGCTCTTGTGTATCGAATCAACTGAGATATATAGACTCCGTTTGCAGGTGAAGAAGGTGATGCTGCATAAGTAAGGGAAGTTGACGATAGAAAAGTTAAGGTCATCATGTTTATCATATTGTTTGGTTGTTATATTACCATTAACGTCTTTTTCAAGTAAAATATCCAAGTATGCAACATATGTGTCGGACTCGGTGGTATCTTTTATCTCAAGCTCACCAGGATATATTGTATCGACGAAGGAATGGAATTGACCATTGTTAATTGACAGTACGTCGTCGATATATCTAAATGTCGAGCTGAAGGCCACAGCAAATGTTTTCTTCTTTTCACGCATTTAATTTTGCACAATTTCTGCTTTACATGAAAATAAAAATAGGTCTGCTAAATTTTATTTTAATTTAAAGTTTGCTGATGAAATGTCTGTTTTTATAGCTAGCAGGGCTATTCCACGGACCCCCCCCCCCCCTTCACATTTAAACAACGTGATTTTAGTCCCAATAGAGTAGTAAAACAGGAATATGATTTTGTTATTATATATTCATTATAACTGATTAATATATATTACGAACAAATTTGTAATTTAAAAAGGCTATTTTTAATGGAACGAAAGCTCAAATTGTCTGCATTCCATACACAGGTAAGCAAACAAATTTTACCTCTGGTATTAAATGGAACAGCGTAATCAAGACATGGTGACCTAATTCGTTTCTCTATAGAAGAAACGATCAGCCGTATTTTAGCGGTTTCAGTAGACATGGTAGAATAGAAATAAAGTCCTCCTTGTTGTCGTGAATTAAGCAGAATAACCTCCTCGGTCTCGAAATGTTGTTTGAAACATTAAAGCTACGGCTAAACCCTCGGCTCTTATCTTTCAAACAACATTTCTCGACCTCAGAGGTTATTCTGAAACATTCACGAAAACGCGGACTTTATTTCTTAAACACAAAGTTATTCATATTAAAAATAAAAGTGAATACTAGTAGATGGATAACGCTGTTTTACTAACTTCATTAGTATTCTACATCCCTTGGGGAAAATGCAAAATTTTTAAATTTACACAATTATGAATGAAATTAAAATGAGAGCATTTCAAGGAAAAATGATCATGCATGTAACAGGTACATTTTATGTAATTATATTTACCAGATTGACTTAAAATTTGTTCATTCACAATGATTAAATGTAGTTATACATGTTATGGAAATGAATTATGCAGAAATGAAAACAATATTTACAGTGATTTTAACCCTTTACATGGCATATACGCATTTCTACGCATCTGACTTGAATAACAAGTATATTGTGAAAGAAACATTCATAACTTCGTTAATACTGGAAATATCAGATTAAATCTTGCACCGTTGGATGGAGAAAATAAATACGGTAAATAATATACAGAAAATATTTTTATTGGCTGTACCAGTTTTTTGATAGCTTGAGTAAAACTTTGTGCACTATTTGAGCGATTTTGCCATTATCGAAATCAATGCGGGGGTAACACGTTATATGTAAAAATGCTAAATTCTGGTGTTTACATCCCAACCCTACCCAATCCCCCCAAAATACTTAAAATTGGTTTGTAAAAAATGTACAACATGTTCATAATTTTCAACACAACAACGAAATATTTTTAAACATAAATCTAAATAAGCAAAAAACTAGAATGAAACTCATTATTGAAAAATGCAAATTCCAGCATAATTATGGTGTATTTCGTTGCCATGGCAACTGAAATGAAACTTTTATAATCATTTTCAGAATCAACACAATACCTGCTTTCAGAATATATATACAATGGTATATACAAAAATTACAAGAAATACCCCCCAAAAATGCATTGAAATCTTAATATCAAATTGTCTAGAAATGCTTAAAATCTTTGCCATGTTATGGAGATGAATTATGCAGAAATGAAAACAATATTTACAGTGATTTTAATGTCACAGACTTTGTAGATGCTCTTAATCTCGGGCCAGAGTAATATTTGTGGCGGGTACGTAAAAGTTTATAGCATACATTTCAGTTTTAAGTAAGCTCTAAAACTACAGCACAATAAAGAGGTCAAATTGTAGGGTGCTTTTATGCAGCTAGAGTGACATGCACGAAAATATGTAATAGAAAAAGCGGGGGACAATAATGGAAAAAAATACGGCTCCAGGGACACAGAACTGAGACTAGCTCACTTTTAAACTCGGTCTTATTTTTTCCACCATTAGAAATTTATCAAATATCATTTAAGTGTCCCCATTTCATTTTTTATCTCCCCGAAGCCAGGTTAGGATACAGTTTGTTATAGATTTTAGTATTGTTAATATATTATTTCATCAGAACAACTAAATTGATTGTCTTATTCTTTTATACAACAGTGACTTTGTTTACTAATTCATCATTGCCTGGAAACATTTTCCATAAGAAACATGGCAGGTATCTGGAAAAACCCCTACATAAACAAATACATGGGCGCAGACATTTTGGACACCCAAAGTTGTGCGGAGGAGAAAATGCTAGCTGGCGCGTGATTGGTCAATAAGAGAAAAGACTTGTTATGTATTTGACAAGTGAAATAAAGTTGATAAAAATCTCATATCCAGACTTGGGTTTCTTTGAGGTATATAGGAGTTACAGGTAAAAATTTGAAGGGAGGGATGCACTTTCGTTAGAGATTTTCATTTGGTGTCAAACGCACCTAGTTGTAAACAAATGGAAATTGAAAGTAAAAGTGCCGCGTGACGGTATATTTTTTCTGGCATTTTTTGTTTTCCAATATTTCGAACTTTCACGACAAAAAGGTCATTTGCCCAAAATTCAATATATGTATCAATGAGAGGGGCTAAAGTTTGTATGGAAGTCTATGGGAAAACATTTGGTGGTGTTTGTCCTATAGAATAGGTATGACTTCATGGATAAAAATTGATTAAAGCCAAAAAATCAATCAGTTCCTATTTTTTTGGCATTGAGATTATATCTTAGTTAGTTTTGACTAATTGTTTAAAAATTAGAGGGTTTGGGTAAATTGAGGCTCACAATGGGGACTGCACATAGTGAAAAAATGCTTAAATTTTTGCCCTAGCTCTCATATTTTCAATAAATGTACATTTAAATAATTTTTAATAAATATTTATACTGAAATTTACTGTGAATATTGTAAATAATACAATATCAATATTGATGGGCATCATCAATACACAAAACATATGAATATCCCCCTCGCAGTTTGAGAAATTCATTTAAATCCATGTATTTTATGAGTGTAGACATTGGAACAGATTGAGTAATCCTCTTTCAAATTTGTGTTAATCAGAGTTGATTTAATAATTTATAACAAAATTTGACTGCTGTTAACTAATTAGGTTACTTTGTTCTTACATAAGGGGCATAATCCAGCAGCAAAGTCAGATTCAGTCATGTAATCAGTGCTGGCTTGAAATAAAAGTTATACTTTTGGTGAAAGTTAGAGATTACTAGTAGAAAATTTAATTTAAATTACTGTACAATATATTTTTGCAGAAAATACATTGAAAATGGAATAAATATGCAAAATTATAACTGAAAAAATCATAAAAAAGGTGTCTGAATATCCCTCCTCCTTGACATATCCAATCTTGATATTCAGCTGAAAGGGGGGGGGGGGTAATTTTGTGCTCTAATGATGCTGAAAAATGAAGGAATTTTGTTTAAATTTTGTTTATTTGAATAACAAAAGTCATGCTTATCTGCAGTTATTTTTTTTTTCAATTTCTTTGATATTTTTTAAAATAATTATCTGAGTAAATTCTATTTAAAAATGATTATTTTAAAGGTTTTCATCACAAATGCTTACAAGAAATTTAAAAGAAAGTGTAAATAATAAAAAATTATGATATAAGCTACTAGATGCATTTACCAGTGTGTTTTAATGAAATAAAATGTATTTCAGCAATGCATTCTCAAGAAGGAAGAGATTAATGAACCTTACCCTCTTACAATGAACAACACATGGACACTCTCAGGATGATCCCTTTGCTTTCATTAAGAGTTCCAAGGTATGGTTTTCTTAGAAAATCTAGTTAATCTCTTAACATCTAAGTTATTTAGAACTTTTTATAGATTATTTGAAAATAAATTTCCTCAGAACTACAGTTATTTAAGCACTTTGCTTACAATTGAGCACTGTATTCAGTCAGACAGTATGATTTATCTGCCCTTGGCATTTTATCAATTTATTAATTATGTCAATAATAAGAAATGATATGCAAATAATTATATTTGCCTTTTATGAGAATATACATATTTAACATCAATTACATGAAATGTTCATGAAAATTGGCTAAAATGTAGGTCACCCCCCCCCCCCTTCAAAATTGCAAAATTTTCAGTGGGGATGTATTTGATTCTCTGATGCCAGCAACCCATTGCTGATAAAATTCTTTTTAATCTTATGTACATTTGAACTAGATATAATTTTCTTTCTTTCCATTGATTATTTCATCTACATTAGTTTTTACTCTTTCCATAACCCAGGTTTTTCTTACAAAAACCCGCTGATTTTCTTCATTTTTCATTGATAACGGGTACCTGCTACCCTGAATGATTAACATGATCTACCTTGAGAAATTATCAGAGATAATAAGAAAAACAAGCAAAACATATGCTATATTAATCATTTTATTTTAGAAGTTTGAAAGAAAAATAGAAAAATGCTTCAATTTATAGACATCTTTTCTGTTTCACAGATGTGGGTCTGATGGACTGGGGTGTGAAATGTAACAGCTAATGGTGTACTTAAGCTAAGACTGTCAGTCCCAATATTCAAGAGGTGAGATAAGCAGTGGATATGTGTTCTAAATTTACTAAATTGACCACTTTTTATAAATGTTTCTTTTACTCTATAGAATAGGTATGATTTCATGGATAAAAATTGATTACAGCCAAAAAATCAATCAGTTCCTATTTTTTGGCATTGGGATTATATTTTAATTAGTTTTCACTAATTGTTTAAAAATTAGAGGGTTTGGGTAAATTGAGGCTCACAATGGGGACTGCACATAGTGAAAAAATGCTTAAATTTTTGCCCTAGCTCTCATATTTTCAATAAATGTACATTTAAATAATTTTTAATAAATATTTATGCCGAAATTTACTGTGAATATTGTAAATAATACAATATCAATATTTATGGGCATCATCAATACACAAAACATATGAATATCCCCCTCGCAGTTTGAGAAATTCATTTAAATCCATGTATTTTATGAGTGTAGACATTGGAACAGATTGAATAATCCTCTTTCAAATTTGTGTTAATCAGAGTTGATTGAATAATTTATAACAAAATTTGACTGCTGTTAACTAATTAGGTTACTTTGTTTTTACATAAGGGGCATAATCCAGCAGCAAAGTCAGATTCAGTCATGTAATCAGTGCTGGCTTGAAATAAAAGTTATACTTTTGGTGAAAGTTAGAGATTACTAGTAGAAAATTTAATTTAAATTACTGTACAATATATTTTTGCAGAAAATACATTGAAAATGCAATAAATATGCAAAATTATAACTGAAAAAATCATAAAAAAGGTGTCTGAATATCCCTCCTCCTTGCCATATCCAATCTTGATATTCAGCTGAAAAAGGGGGGGGGGGGTAATTTTGTGTTCTAATGATGCTGAAAAATGAAGGAATTTTGTTTAAATTTTGTTTATTTGAATAACAAAAGTCATGCTTATCTGCAGTTATTTTTTTTTTCAATTTCTTTGATATTTTTTAAAATAATTATCTGAGTAAATTCTATTTAAAAATGATTATTTTAAAGGTTTTCATCACAAATGCTTACAAGAAATTTAAAAGAAAGTGTAAATAATAAAAAATTATGATATAAGCTACTAGATGCATTTACGAGTATGTTTTAATAAAATAAAATGTATTTCAGCAATGCATTCTCAAGAAGGAGGAGATTAATGAACCCTACCCTCTTACAATGAACAACACATGGACACTCTCAGGATGATCCCTTTGCTTTCATTAAGAGTTCCAAGGTATGGTTTTCTTAGAAAATCTAGTTAATCTCTTAATATCTAAGTTATTTAGAACTTTTTATAGATTATTTGAAAATAAATTTCCTCAGAACTACAGTTATTTAAGCACTTTGCTTACAATTGAGCACTGTATTCAGTCAGACAGTATGATTTATCTGCCCTTGGCATTTTATCAATTTATTAATTATGTCAATAATAAGAAATGATATGCAAATAATTATATTTGCCTTTTATGAGAATATACATATTTAACATCAATTACATGAAATGTTCATGCAAATTGGCTAAAATGTAGGTCACCCCCCCCCCCCCCTTCAAAATTGCAAAATTTTCAGTGGGGATGTATTTGATTCTCTGATGCCAGCAACCCATTGCTGATAAAATTCTTTTTAATCTTATGTACATTTGAACTAGATATAATTCTCTTTCTTTCCATTGATTATTTTATCTACATTAGGTTTTACTCTTTCCATAACCCAGGTTTTTCTTACAAAAACCCGCTGATTTTCTTCATTTTTCATTAATAACGGGTACCTGCTACCCTGAATGATCAACATGATCTACCTTGAGAAATTATCAGAGATAATAAGAAAAACAAGCAAAACATATGCTACATTAATCATTTTATTTTAGAAGTTTGAAAGAAAAATGCTTCAATTTATAGACATCTTTTCTGTTTCACAGATGTGGGTCTGATGGACTGGGGTGTGAAATGTAACAGCTAATGGTGTACTTAAGCTAAGACTGTCAGTCCCAATATTCAAGAGGTGAGATAAGCAATGGATGTGTGTTCTAAATTTACTAAATTGACCACTTTTTATAAATGTTTCTTTTACTCTATAGAATAGGTATGTATTTCATGGAAAAACATTGATTACAGCCAAAAAATCAATCAGTTCCTATTTTTTTGGCATTGAGATCATATTTTAATTAGTTTTTACCATAGACCTAAATCGAAGGGACTGCCGACTTATGACGTCACAATCACTATCTTCTTGTGATTGCAGCGCCCTCACCGGGATGTATAGAAACAGACTTCCTGTAATGAAATCAATGTTGTCGCATCTCGGATTTCTGCATTCTTTGAGGAAATAACAACAAATTAGAAAAATCAATCACTTATTTAAGCTTTCTTCGACGAAATGATCTCGATTTACTACTTCGGAAGTTATAACTTTACGCTATGGAGTCGATGGAAACGTTTTAACTGCAGACATCAGCTGACTACGACGTGACATGTCTTGAATGCTGTCGACTATATTTTACGGTGGTACATGTTTATCTTCTTAATTATTTTACAAAATAAGGACACAATTTATCTACCAATATTTGAA